ATAGAAGAAAACTCAGAGCTGTTATCTTGGAAAAAGGAGGTTGCAAAAAGTATTTAATAAAAGGGGGCAAATAATTGTTCCCAATGTGTTTTGGAGAAAAACATTTATTTCATAATGTGATTTCCCCCCCACTTTCAATTCTTTTACTTCAATGAAAGGTTAGATTTTTGCTAATTTTTTAAATAAAACATTAACAATGCAGATTTATTTTTTACAGCCATCTTTGATCATATTTACCAAGGGGGCAAATAATTCTGACCAGCACTGTATCTTCATCACCATGCATGCTTTCTGTCACTCCTCTGAGTTTGTTTCTTGCTCCGGTGGGTTCCAGGTTTTGCTACACATTGCATAATGTAAGCACCTGTGCTTACTCAGACTGTTGTGCCATGTGACCAACCCGAAGACATCACCCCACCGGCTCCTAACCATGCTTAAGGACCACAGGAAAACAACAAGAAGAAGAAAAAGCCCATGCTAATTGCATCCTTATCTTATGATTTGTAAAAAAGCATGATTCTGTCAGAATGAACTGAGATGAGTTTGCCCTCCCATCAAAGAACAGCACTTACTCATGCAGTAGCTTTTCTGGTCTGTCTATATGTCTAGTCTTCTTTCTTTTTTGTGGTTTTGAGATGATGTTGGCATGCCTTTGAGTGAGGGTGCTCTAAAATGTGATTAAAATCTGCCATGAGACAGGGCATTAATATTTCAAATTTAAGAGCAGCATCAGCTGAGCAGGATTCCTGGCAATCGCTGCTTGCTTAAACATGCAAGAGATTATATGTGCATCTACTTAATCACTCATAACTCATCAGGAATTGTGCCATATAGAGGCTTGGATGCACACATTCTTAAGAATGCGAATATCAAAGAAAATAGCTAATTATTTATTATATCTATAGGCTATATATATATATATATATATCTTTATATACATATTGTTAACATCTCAATAGTTTCTCCAAGGCAGCATTGAGATTAATTGGGAGCAAATCAATTTATTATCAGTTTCATCACTGCATTCAAGATCAAGAGACGACAGTCGCAACTATTCAACAGTTTTTACAACACTTTGAATAATGCAACAACAACAAAAAAAAACCTTAGTCTTATTTTTACAAGTCTGACTTGTGTGTATATATCATCATCATCATCGACTAAATTATCTGACCAAATTATTGACAGATTCTTCATTTGCCAAATGATCTGAGCTATACTTTTGCCATGAATTTCTGGAAAACAGAAGGATGATCCTGTAAACTTAGCCTGGATCAGAAATGTACGACACAACATCCTTGTTGTACAGTTATTTTAGTGTGCTTCACACAGGTTGACTTCCTTTTGCAGAAAGCAGACAAAAAACAAACAAAAAAACCCCCACCAAAATATGTTTTGCGCTTGCATAAGTGCAGGCTGGCATTATTTTCTTTAAATCTTTATCTCTTAAGATCATCTTCACTTCCTCATCAAAAGATGTTGCTGAAAACCACAACTTCTCTTTCTGCCTCGCTGAGTGCAAGACAAGACTCTGTGTGCTTTTTAAAGAGGCCCCCGAATAGCAGTCTGTGACGGAACACAATCAGTTCGGGATTGACGGTGTTCTTGCTTTAAGTTGTACAGAGTGTACTGTAGATTCAGTGAGATCAGATATAGGTCAGTATGATGCCCTGTTTGGGTCACAATTGTGTCATATTTCTCGGGAAGCACATGAGAGATGCGATCTATTAGATGGCTGTCTTGGTTGTGTGGCTGTGGAAGGATGTTTGTATTGTGAATGGGGAAATTCCTGTGGGTGCAGTCGCTGCTGCAATGAGCGATGGCTGACATGCAAAAAAAAAAAAAACTACATAAACAACACATGTGTACAAAACACATCTAAAACAATCCTCGCTGCATAAAACAGAATGTAATGCATACGACATAAAATATATAATATAATATATAATTTTATTAGGACTCTATAGACTAGGACTCTTGATTAAAACAAATCTATTTGCAGTCCAGATCAATTCATTTTTGTCATGAGGTCATGTTTTTTTATTTTACTTAATTATATATACATATATGCATGTATATATAATTAACTGTGCTTAATGAACATGGTAAATGGATAGTTTTTCATACAATTTCTTTTGATATTTTCCCTAAACCAGCATCTTGATACATGCACAATTTTCTTTCCTCCACTGCTTTTCCTGGAATCACATCCCAACTACATCATAAGGATGTCCACAAAGACATGTTTTTTCCCCCCGATCTTGTCGACCACAGGCCACAGAGAAATGAATTGCTCATTGGAGATGGCGCTTGTGCCATAATGGAAATCTTTTGCATAAATGCTGACAGGGGTGGATCTGTTCCTTTAATTTTGGTGAATTATATGCATACACCATTTAAAGAGTGGACCTAAATTCTTTAGTACAAGGATGAAAGACGTTTGAGGTGGCTTTATTTGAATCTAAAGACTCTATTCTATCTAGAGAACTCCCATTTAGGGACACATCTCTTTTATATAAGGTAATAGCAGTGGGGATTTGACTTCCTAATGGAGATGTTTAAATGAAGCTTATGGTCTACTTCCCCCCAAATCTGACTAGTTCGAGAAGATAAATTCCCCTGTCAAGGTCGAGATGATCAAACAGATTACAATTATTTTATCCCTCGTCTTTATTAATGAGCACTGTCTTTCACAGTTATGTCGACTAATCAGGATAGATGATATGTCAGCCTCCAGGTTTGTTGTTTTTCACGTATTTAAGGAGTCGTAGGAGTTTAAAAATTGAAAGATAATAAAACCCTACAGCTTGTCAGGGGAGAAACTGGGCTTTTGGAGGTTTAAAAAGGTTACGTTTTATGTATTGTGTGCATAACACAAGCAAAGAGACTGATGTGTTGTAAAAAAAAAAAGCTGTCAATTATCACATAACTGAATCCTTGTTCTTAGGGACAAAAAAACAAAGAACCTGTAATGATCAAAGCTGATTAAAAAAAAGAGCAAAATATAATTTACAGTATAAGCTTTGACATTTAGACTACAATATTACCTCTGTTCTGAGAAGCCTTATAATATTATATAATATTCCCAAAAATAAATCAGATTTTAGAATTCAATCACAGCAGTATTTCTAAAGCTAAAAAATAGAATATAACTCCAAAATAGAGATAAACAGCAGCGTTAAACTAAATATATTTCTTTAAATTAGAAGATGCAAAATGTGACTACTTGTTGGAAAGTTTGAAGTTATTCTACTGGTATGTTACTGAAAAATGCAGTTAAGCAACTGTTCCTCCACACATCACAGTGACAGTAAAACTATGAAGTAAATGTAAAAAAAAAAAAAAAAAATTTTGGTTACAATGTCAAGTGCACATCCCTGACTCGGTCAAGCGCTCTGGCGTTCAGCCTCTCTCTATCTCCTCTTCCTTTTTTCTCTCTCCATTTCCTTGCATTTGTCAGAGTAGTAACCCCTGTTGTCTCAGCCGAGTGAATCAGATTGAGCCCCTGGCACAGAATGAAGGCAAAGTCAACAGGAATTAAGTTTCAGTGCAACTGTTTACTCAACTGTGGCCTGCAGTTATTGAAATCTTATCCATGGTTTTGTGTGACGACTGCGGTAATGAATTCAGCATGCCTGTGATTTTCGAACCGACAACATCACGCTAAGTCAGAGAAGCACACGACAGACTGAAGCAATTCAGAGGACAGGGGAAGGCGAAAGCGAGAGCCAATCACAGATGCTTCAGATTATTGATTGATGGTGATATACTCTAGTTACAGATTGATCTCTAGAAGACTGAAGGGAAAATCGTATTTTATTATTTTATTTTAATAGAGTTTTATTCCTATTTGTTATCCAAAATAATAATTCCAATTTGCAACCAACATCTTACTAATTTAAACACAATACAAAATCGATATCCTATGTATGACAAATCAGTTTTGGGTTGTTCTCTGCTCTCAAACCAGATATCACGCAGACCTGTCCTGTTTGGCATTAAAACCAAGGCATCGCTTTCCTCAGTTCAACGACAGCCATGTTACTCCGGCAGACAGATACTTCAGAAGCTCCCCATCCCCACCAAACAACCCTTGACAACATCTCCCATCATGCCGTGGGGTGCAGATAACATACGACTGGCTGATCTTTTCAATGCTGGCCGGCTCAACATGCTGCCGTGTGACAGACAGAAAGAGCTTGTCTGTTTATTTTAGTCTGAGTGAGGATGCTTTGGGCGCTCTAGGTATATAATAAAAACGGCTGCAACACTCCACGCTCCGGTGCTTTGAATGGAAGCTCTCCAAAATTTCCACCTGAGTGTTAGGGGTGTTTACAAAGCGACATGTGAAATCTGTGGCACCTGGATGGACTCAGCACATACACAACTGTCTGTAAATTCCATTGCACCTATGCATTTGTCTGTTGATAAATATTTCACCTGAATGCAGATGCCGGGATAAACACATTGGCAACCAAAAACACAATCACAGAAAGAGCACTTAGTGCGTTTAAAAATTCAAACCGCTCTCAATATACATAAATAATCATAATAATGTGTTTATGTACTCTGGTTGGAGGGGGTGCGACGATTAAATATTTACAAGCACTTAAAGAGGGGAGAGAAGGATGCTGTTGACATGCGTTAATAACAGACAGGTGCAAGAATGAAAGAAGGAAAAGGTAGGACCGTAGGTAGGAATGAACAAACAAATTAAGGGTGGAAGGAATGAAGAAAAAAAAGGAGGAAGGGAGGAACAAAGTAACAAACAAATAATCAAAAGATGGAAGGAATGATTTAAAAAAATGAAAAAGAAAGAAAGAAAGGAATGAAGGAAGAAAGAACGAACTGAAAGAAGGAACAAACTAACTAATGGATGAAAGTAATGAATAAAGTAGGAAAAAGACAGAAGGAAGGAATAAAGGAAAAGGAAGAAAAATTCAAAAAGAAAGTGTGAACGAATGAACAGATGATTAAAGTAAGAGGACAAAAGTAAAGACCTGCTGTTGCTGGAAGTTCACGAGGTCAGATGCTGTGATGTCAGAGGAAGGTGTGGCGCTCTTGGATTGAACTTCTCTGTGTCTCTCCACACAAGGTGCGGCGCCGTTCTGATTGGCTGTTCCGTTTGTCGCCTCTGTCCCCGACTCTTGCATCATGACTTAAAAACCTGCAGCAGAGATGCAAAAAACCAACAAAAAAAAAAACATTTTAAAACAATCCCACGCAAACGTCAATTTCCTTTTGTCCCGCTCAATTTCACTTTCCCCATCTTTCCCTTAAAAGAAGCTAACAATCATATTCTGTTTGTTTTCCATCCTTCTGCTGGGCCTGAAAGAATGAAGAAACAGCAAAAAAGCAAAACAGAATGGGAACCCAAACCTCGGTCACGTCTCAGCAGAGAGAGGCCCAAGAAAACACACTCGCTCACAAACAAAACTTGTTCAAGTGAAATGGATATATTTACTCGCATTGCTCCCAGAAGAACCACAGCCCGATGGCTTTTTAATGGGAAACAGGGTATGGGAGTCGGTCGGATTACAAATCTCAAAAATCAAAACTTCTCAGCAAACGTTCGCAATCCAGGGTGTTGAGTTAACGCCGCGGTCCTGGGCCCGCACACAAATAAACAAACCTGAAAATATTCCCATGTACTTCCCAAGCATTTCCAATAATAAATTATACTCTAATGATGCCTATTCAGACTCACAAAAATACGTTGTTCTTCCAACGCTTCCCATCTAACAGACCAACCCTGCAATACACTAAATGGTACTTTTCTCCTGATCTGTCCATGTCGTCCTGAGATAGACACTTAGATTTATATCTTTTGCATTCCTCGCGGCCCTCGTTGGCAACGAGTGCCTTGTAGCCCTGTTTCAGACCATCTTAATGAAGCTGACCAAGTCGGGCAGAAGTAAATTAACTTGGCTTATTAATTATTGATATGAGGCAGAATGAATGCCCTTAAAGCAGTGGGTGCTAATCACATAGGCAGGTGAAAATTGAAAAGAATTCAGATTTATAATGCTGACCCTCTCAGACAGTAATAAGGCGCTTGATAATTGTTCAGCCAGGTTTGCAGGGGAGAGGCGGTTACAGACGCAGGAGAACACATTGGGGATTGACCCATCTGGACCACCAAAGGGCTGCGGCTCTTCTATTTTATTTTTTGATGCGAACAAGAAGAAGACTGGGACGAATTGGGCCAAATCAACTACTAGACCAAAAAAAAAAAATTATATACTATATTATTCTATGTACATTTCTGAAATGCACTTTCTGTAAAGCTGCTTTGAAACAATATGTATTGTGAAAAGCGCTATACAAATAAATTTGAATTGAATTGAATTGAATATACACACACACATACTGACCTACATCGATGACTAAAATCTCAGGGAGCCCTGTCAATTTCGTAACCCCTTAAATCACATATTTTAGTTCTATCTCTAAAACACCCTGAATACACTATGTAAATAAATCACATGTGTAAATAAACTGCTCTATGCTCAAAATCATCCTTTCAATTAGAGATAAACGGACCAAGTACCTGGTACTCCCACAAACAAGCTGTGGCTTGTTTAGCAAGCTTCTCCCCCTTTCTGTCTATTTTACGTTTTACGGTCTCATTTGTTCTTTGTGTTCCATAAAAGAGGCTGATAATGGCTATTATGCATGCACTGTCATTCCGTACTAAATTTTCATAATTATAAAGGAAGGGCGTAAATTTGCGAATGCGTGGCATCTCTAAAAGTAATCATGAGAATGCGCCGGGGGGCTATTTTAATGTATGCGAAACTAGTGACCCACAATAAAGACGTGAAGCTGCAACGAATGCAAAGTAATGCACACGCGCCCAATTCCACGTCTGAAGAGGGCCAGCTAAAATTAACACCCAATTAATTTCGGAATTGACAAACAAATGAAACCCATAAATCTAGTTTCTCATTAAATTTCACCATGGAATAATTCAAAAGCAGCAATATCACGATAAAAAAAAAAAAGAAAAAAAAAAAGGATGAAAGAAAATGCCTGTTATCCATCACAAATATCAAATAGATGGAGGGGAAAAAATAATCTAGTGGAAGGGCATTAATAATGTCAATGGCTTTATGAATTAAGCTATTGTTTTAGTGTCTCATCATTATGATTCCAGCTTTGAGATTCGACCCATTTTGATAACAAAAGTGCAATTCTTTGCCTGTGACTTTCTGTCTTGAATTTGGTACAAAAAAAGGCATACAACATAAACACGAATAACAGACAAACAAGAGTTGACAAGAAACAGATGGGTTTGTTTACAGTGTTTATGGTGGCTTTAAATAAAAAGAAAAGGCAAAAACTTCAAAATAATGGAAATTCCCTGAGATTAAGCCCCCGCCATCAGGCACCTACCAAACAAACCTCCATCATCAGATGTCTGCGCCTTTTCCCCACAAAACGCTTGCTTGCTAAACACAACAAGTGTTTGGAACAAACAACAGATAGTACAACAAGGTCAGAATTTGTGCATGTTGACGTTTTGTTCGGTTCATCTGATATTGCGAGCGCACACACCAAATCATGTGCGCACCACACCTGGCCTACATAAAAGCATGAGCAGATACAGAAAATCAAGAGCTTTTATCCCTTATTTATTATTTCCCAGGATTTGACTGCGAGTGTGTTTATGGCGAGAGTTTGTTTGTGTGTGCCGTGCACCAGGCCGGAAAGCAGACTCCATCAACGTTAAAAAGATGCTGTCATTCCGGTAAGTTATGAAAGCCCACCTGCTCTTACAAGTCTGTGCTCTCACACCACCCCTGTTTACACAAGCGCTCAACAAAAGCACAACATTCTTACGCTTCAGATAAGTAGTCACAATAAGGTCGACAAAAGCCCATGATCACACTGTTGTTTAGGTTCAATGTTGTTGCTTGTCTAGACAACACAATAATCTGTTTGACTGAAAAGGTGTGAGAGCATCTTGAGGTTTATCTTTTCTCAAGGATTCATGATGAGTAACGCAGACAGTTGTATTTTGGCTATGGGTAGTATGAACAAAATTATGACCTAATATTACAGTACAGTGAGTGTGTGACATTTTTAACACTAAACGTTTATATGGCAATATAGTTGTGCATGAAATTCAACCCCAAAATGATTTATATATTACAAAATAATGCAGTATTGTTTGGAACTTGGACACAAACCATAAGGTACAATTATTCGGTTACACTTTATTTTAAGGTGTCATTGTTATAGTGTAATCATATATTCAAGTATTGAGTATTAATTGTTAACAACAAGTGCTTGCTATAGGGTTTGGTTTAGGGTTAGTTGCATGTTTATGCATAATTTACTGTTATTACTATGGTAAGTACTAACATGTAACAAGGACACTGTAAAATAAAGTGTTACCAATTATTCATGTGAATGTAGAAATTAACTGATATAAAGATTCTGATCGATATTGATAAGCTGATAATTATTTTCATTTTATGGTGAATAAATCAATAAATGGACAATATTAAAATTCGACACTATTTGGTCAAAACAAACAAAAAACAAAACTATATACACAGTACTTGACAAACTTTTTTGCTCATCAGCCACTGTGGATAGTGGTTTTCTAAAGCTACTAGCCACTCAGCATTTTCACTTGCCACAATTTTGACATTGATACCATAGGGAAAAACCATATGGGTATTTTTAATATTATCTCATAATTTGGCAGCCGGTATATTAGGCTGCTGTCACTTTAAAACCTGACGCACAGACCCATTAAACTGTTACTGTATACTGACCCATTATATATAGCCAATATATTTGGCTTTATGTGCGCGAACTTTGGGCGTGAGCACAAAATCTGCGAGAATGAGTAAAATTATGCACAATACGTGCAATCCCACGCTGAAATTTAAACCCTGTAACACCAACAATAATCATCCAGACCAAATGAAACAAGTGCGTGAGGAAGAGCTGGTATTGTGTATCCTGTGGAAGAGTTTAAGATATTTCGGTATCGATAAGTATCGAAAAATCTATATTTTTGACAACACTACATTGCAATTAGTTTATTATTTCAGATGCCTTTTTAAAAGACTACAATCTAAAAATGTATGTATATATATATATATATATATATATATATATATATATATATATATATATATATATATAAATAAATACACACACATTAAATAAATCCCAGGGGTACATTTAAAAATCTTTTTAAAAAAAGTAAAATTATACGTTTTTAAATAAGTTTACTTATGACCGCGATCAAGCCTCCTCAAAAGTCTGTCTATCACTATCTCTGCTAGATATCAAGCATTGTGTTACCTTCGGTTTGGGTCTTCCGTCTCAAGGCACAACTTTGCATCATTCACATGTGTTGGCACAATCAGGGCTAGCAACTCGCCCTCGTGGAAAAGAATTGCTAGTCACCCTCTCAAAGAGGAAATGACAGCAGCAATGACATTCTGCCAAAAGTAGATCTCACAGTGAGACCAAACAGCCCCTCTAATCTCAGCGGGCCTCTCCAGGCCAGAAACATATCTCGACACTACTGTGGTGGCAATCTGAGAACAAAACCCCACCACGTTTGGACAGACGGGTTTCGTCTTTTCTTTTGTGCTTTCTTCAGTTTGCTTCCAGACCTTGTAGGGCTAATGCCGGTCCGGCAGCTCCTACAAACAAAGCTCGCTATTTGTTTAATAACTGATTGCTGCCATGACTACGGTAAACAAGGGGGAGAACAGGGCCTTTTCTTTCTGTTTATGAACAAACACATCTTCTCGCAAAGAGCAATTTAACATTAACCAGGTGGAATGATCAACAGATCCCATAGGTTACACAGAGGGCGAGCCGAAATGTAAACATTCTTTAGAGAAACAGAGAGAATGGAAGGCGGCGGACAAGCATGTATGGATAGCAAGGTCAATGCAAATGCAGCCCGTCTTGAATAAACAAACTCAAGACAAACAAACAGTCGTTCTCCTGACATTTAAAGAAGCATTAGGACGGGTGGGCTACAGCTGCTAACGGCCAACGTGAATGTGAACTAGATAGGGGAGGGAATGTGTCACTCAACAGGACCTCACGTTCCTCCTATACGTCCGGCTTCGGTCTGCGGAACAAACAGACACGCTGCATCATCCTTATTGCCTCCACGAAAACAGCACC